CTGAACAGTCATCTCTCTTTAATATTCGTTATCGATGCCTCAAAATAACCAAGTCAAATGAAGATGATTGGGTAAAGCACGCCGGCTTAGTAAATCGTGAATGCGAACGATTTAAATTATCATCAATGACGGAAGATCAGTTTAAGTGCCTTGTGTTTGTGTGCAGCTTACAATCTCCCGAAGATGCTGATATAAGAACCAGAATCTTAAGTAAAATTGAGCAGTGCCCAAACATCTCGCTTCAAGAAATAACTGCAGAGTGCCAGAGATTAGTAAAATTGAAGCATGATACCTCCATGGTCGAAAACAATGGCCGTGCATCATACGTGCATGCCGTTAGTGAAAAGAAAAATTCCGGCTCACAAAAGCACAGACAACCAGCCCTCATCTCCATGCTGGTCATGTGGAGGTTGGCACTATAAGAAGTTTTGTCCATACAAAGATTATGTTTGCACTAAATGTCACAAAAAGGGTCACAAAGAATCTCGATGTAGAAAAAAAAACTCGCAGAAATTACTCCGCGGAATTTGATTCCAAGAAATACAGTTCTGGTAAGCCAATAAACCGAGTATTGGTGTCTCATAACCAGACAAGAATTCACCAAAGAAGAAAGTATGTGACTTTGGATATGAATTCACACCGTATCCGTCTTCAACTTGACACAGCATCTGATATCACCCTTATCAGTCCAAAAACTTGGGAGAAAATTGGAAAACCTACAGTTCACCAAACGAAGCAACTAGCACACAGCGCATCTGGTGGTAAGTTAAATATTGTTGGAAAAATATTGTGCACTGTTTCAAAAAATGAGGCAACAACGAGTGCAACTGTATACTTAACTAAAAACCCAGACCTTGATGTATTGGGGTTGGATCTCATAGATGCATTAAAATTAACAGACCATTCTATCAACAATATCTGCAGCCGAGTTAGAATCAATAACCCTTTAGAGTCAAATCCGGGAAATGCCATTATAGAAAGGCATCATCACGTATGTCCAGAAGCGTTGGGCGAATGTACAAACGCCGCGAAAAACCCTTCGAAATGCGAGCCTCAACAATGGCAGAAACCTACTGGACCTTGGGAGAGAATTCATGCAGATTTCGCTGGCCCAATCCCAATCCAAGGTAAAATGTTTCTAATTATTGTAGATGCGTATACAAAATGGCCAGAAATATACAGCATGCCGAATTGTACAGCCTCAGAAACTATTCAGAAGCTTTCTACCTTATTTAGTTGCTTCGGAGTGCCAGAAACATTGGTAACTGATAATGGATCACAATTTGTTGCCGACTCATTCACGCGATTCTGCAGTTCAAACGGCATAACGCATCTACGGTCCCCACCTTACCACCCCCAATCCAATGGACAAGCTGAACGCTTCGTGGACACCTTCAAAAGAGCCTTACTGAAAGGGGGAGACGAGGGGCCAACTAGCCAAGGAATCACGAGATTTTTAACGGCTTACAGAAGCACTCCGAACCCTATGGTCCCAGAGGGGAAGTCTCCAGCCAAAGCGATGTTTGGAAGACGTATTCGGACTATTTTTAACGCGATGTTGCCCCCTAAAAGAGTGAATAGATACAGGCCAAATAAAAATATTCGCAGCTTCAACGTGGGCGATAAAGTGTTCCTAAAAACATATCGTGGTAAAAATCAATGGGAACCAGGAACAGTCGTCCAAAGACTAGGAAGAGTTTTGTATCGAATCATAGGAGCTTTCGGAAGCTGTGTTAGACACACAAACCAACTGCGAAGGGACGAAAGAATGGCACGCTCGGGTGATAATCGCGTGAATCCACCCCTGGAGTTGATCACAGAACCGACAACTACACATTTTTCCCGGAATGCCGAAGAAAAGGGAAGGTTGGAGACATTAACTCGAGAAACTATAACCAGAATGGAACGCCGCCGCAACCCAGTCGTAAGACTACAAGTGGACCCAAGAAAAAAATCTTATTCTGGGGAGGTGTTGGGATAGCCAATCGAGAAGAAAGCCATGCACATTGTGGATTGATGAACTTATCGATTAAATGCTTAAATATTTCAAGGGCAGTCAATCGGTGAACTATCGGATTTAAAATTCAAATATTTAAACGACAATATCGATTATATTTATAATTGTATAAATACGCATGTTTGGTTGTATATTTTTGATTCTGTAAATAAGTGTTCTCCAACGTCTTCCGTCTTTTTATTTTTGACGGTGGGAGTCTAACGTTTCGAGGGTCGTTAATACAGTGGTTTGGCGTTACATCAAGCAGAAAACATAAAAGTCTCAATCACTGATTGTCCCAATCTATAAGAAAGGTCAAAAGTCTTCTTGTGACAATCACAGGGGAATAAGTCTCACTAGTACAGTATCTAAAATATTGGCATCAATAATACTTCGACGCTTAACGAAAGCTCGTGAAGAGCAGACTAGAGAAAACCAGGCTGGTTTTCGACCTGGACGTGGCTGTATAGACCACGTCTTCACACTCAGACAGGTCCTGAAACACAGACACACATCTAGGCGTCCTACAATAGTTGTCTTCCTGGACCTAAAAGCGGCATTTGACTCAGTGGGTCGTGAGGTTCTGTGGCAGTGTCTGTCATCGAATGGTGTACCAAAGAAGTACATTAACCTTATACAAGCTCTCTACTCGAACACCACTGGTCGAGTGAGAGCTTATGGCGAACTGTCATCATCAGAATTCCTTACTTCAAGTGGTGTCCGTCAGGGATGTCAACTCTCTCCATTCTTGTTTAATTTTATCATAGACATGCTCTTAGAAATAACCTTATCCCCGTCTGAATTTTCAGGAGTTGACCTTCTACCAGGAGGTTCGCTTATCGACTTAGAATATGCCGACGACTTAGTCCTACTTGGTGAAGACGCTGAAAAAGTGCAGAGTCTTCTGACTACCATTAGCAACAATGCAAGCATGTTCGGGATGCGGTTCTCACTCTCGAAATGCAAAATGTTGCTTCATGATTGGGTTTCATCGGAACCTGAACTAGTCATAGGGAGTGAAGTAGTCGAGCGAGTAGACCGCTTCACTTATCTGGGTTGTCTCATCAGTGCTGATGGCTTGGTGACTGACGAAATCTCTGCACGGATACAGAAGGCTCGATTGGCTTTTGCCAACCTGCGTCATCTATGGCGCAGGCGAGATATCCGTTGCAGCAGTTCGCTCTGTCCTACTGTACGGATGCGGTGTAGGAGTAGACTGGAAAGAAGTTAGGGGCGGCCAAATTAAAACATGGCACAAATCCATGAAGTCACTGACAAGTGGACTGAGTCATGGACAAACCAGCTACCAGCTGAGGAAGATGCTGATAGCACTCAATTGCACCAAGGTGAAGGCCTTGACTTGCAACCTACACGGTCAATGGAAAGAAGCAGACTAAAGAGCACAGTTAGCCGGGTACTGGAGGCAAACCTCAAAAGAATGAACATGACTTAGAAACAACAGAAGTGATCTCAGGACAGAGTTGGTTGGAGAATCCTAGTCGGAGGCCTTTGCACCACAAGGGGTAACAGGCGCAAATACTATTAGCTGTAGACGTCGATGATTCTTCCCAAAATCTCAGCAAGCAAAGTGCAACTGCTTGATTTTCTCATAAACTGAGCCCAGGATGTCTAACAGAGGGGACGAATGCTTAAAAATCTGACTACTAAGTTGACGTTTAGTGATTTACATCTTGAACTTACTCAAGTTCAAGATGTTGCACAAGCATCAATAAATAGAATAGAAATTGCCTTGGTGTCAGACTCACTAACAGATTCTTAGAGATAGTACTTAAATCTACAGAAATCTCGAGAGTGCTTTGATCAAAGAGATAATGTAGAAATTCATATTCTAGTGATGTTATTGACACTACTGAACAGGAATGTCTCAACGGTACAATTGTCATTACATTTTTGTTTACACATTCGACTGTAACCCACATTCGTGAGATGCAATGATCATATCTATATGCCTATACTTAGACAAATGATACAGGAACTAATCAAATCTTTGGAATTCACTTGCAGAGATTAGCGAATTATGATCCGATCAAGATATACATGATGATGAAGGAGAACAACTATAAAAACATCCCTGAACATCCCAATAAACATTGGCATACGCACCTAACTATCATAATTTTGACTGAGTTAACATGTAATCATCCATTTAAGAACACTGTAGGACGTGATGAAAGTATGTATGGATTTACAACTTACATCATCAAAGAGAAAAAAAATACAAGTCTAAATAATGTTTGTGGTATTAGAAAACCAAATAAAAGACATGAAAGTTAACGAATGAAGCAAAAGGTTTTTATGCCAGATTGATACAATAATTTGGCTCACTTGTCTCAAATCACTTACTAGCTTACTCATACGTCGATGATTAAAGCGCATTTGAGGAGGTGGTATTGTGGTTAGACTAGGCTACATAAAATTAATAGGTTACAAGCTTGAATCATGTGCCGTCTACTCCGGTTTGAGAAGCCACATAATATCACCAGAATTCACAGAGCATGGTTTGAAGACCATTTCTTAAAAACTTAAACTTTATGTATGAATTACACAGCATATTAGAGCAGAAAGTGGCTGTATCAATGTAGTGTTAGCTTCAACTATTCAAGTTGGTGAAGATTTAGCATGAAGTCAATCTAATCAGTTTGCGACAAGTTAAAAATGATCTTTTTCTGTTTGAGTACGATTTATACTTTGAATAAACCGCACCAAAATATTGTTAGCTTATTACTGACGATATACTCATACTAAAAAATTTGAACATATAAAAACATTTCAATAATTTACGGCTAGATATAATATCATGAAAATACCATACGTAGTGAAATAATAGTCATAATAAAAATTGACTTTTTTTATACAATTCTGCACGAATGAAGTCCAACTGACATGGAACAAACTTAAAGTTGAAATGAGAATGCCAATTATCAGAGATATTTTACTACTTTGAGGATTTATACAATAAATGAGAACAGATTACAATCAGGAACTATCGTCCGGATGATTTATAGTGTGCAACATCAATGAAAGCTGTTTTCAACATGGATTGAATTGTAGTCAGTTTTTCTCTTGATTTACCAAGTAATTGACCAGCTAACTTTTCTGCTTGATCTATACGTTCCCAATCTTCAAACTTTACAACACGTACATCTACATTAATTGAAGAAAAAAGACAATAATTTGAAACGTTTCGTAAAACGGCAACTGAATAAATTAGATTCATAACTGGATGTAACAGATTTACTAAACATATGTTTATACAACTGGTTTGTAAGAATATATTTTTTGGGGATGAGGGATAAACAATCGTGGTGGCACTCTCAGATTCAAACCAATAGCTCAAAGATTTGAATTGGACATTCTAATTCAGTTTGGACATTGATTGTTTGAGCAGTAGTTCAATCAAATAGTATACAGAGAGATCGCAACTTAAAACTAAGTATAGGAACTTGGAAACTTGGTTACTAAATATCATTAATTAGTATAGCATTAATGTTGTATTTCGCGGTGACAAGCCTCCAAATCGACCAAATATGTAATCAAAGAATAAACACAGAGGAATATAGAAATAAAACACTATCAAAATTAATCAATGGTATTTGTTGATTTTCTCACATAATATAGTATGTAAAAAGCATGATGACGTCATAATCTTGATCAAAAGACAAAAACTAACTTCTTTCGTTAAGGTAACGTTGAATTACAGAGAATCCAACCTTGTTTAATATATCTACATGACCAAGTTTCTCATATTCAGACAAATCCTTAAGAATAGTTTCAGCAGTTTGACGAGCGTCTACAGCTGTATCAGCAATTACACCAACTGGACCACGTTTAATCCAACCAGTACAATACATTGGGCTTAAGACGAAATTGTATGAAAGTTGAGGTAGATCAGCTACACGTCCATTGTTGTCCTTGCACTGAATCACTCCATGATGTTCATCGAACGGCAAATCTTGATCAATACGGACACCACGATAACCAATACTGCGAATAACCAAACCACAAGGTAAGGTTTCTAAGGGTTGACTATCGTCTACTACACCTTGCTGATGAGGACTGACCGGACCCTAAGATAAAAATAAAAGATGTAATATAATTTATCTTACATCAGAAAGTGTTATTAAGTAAAGGCAAAACAATTCACCTCTAACTAACTGATCTAGACGATAGGAGTTGACTGATGATTTTTAACCTGAAAACTGCAACTAATCAGCAAAAACAACGAATTAAGAAAAAGAAATGTCAACAGATTGTTATTTAATAGATATATACAGATATTTCTTTTAGTTACAGACTGACAGGTGGAGAAACACTGAGAATCGAAGTGTTAATATGCAGCAAACATTCAGCCGAAATAGTAATCACATGTTTATAAGCCGAAACAGATAATCATTTCTGGTAAGAAGTCATGAGTGGAGGAATTTAGTCGTGTTGGAAGTGAGGGAGACATTACAGATGGTATTGGATGGTGACCAAACACCATTATAAACTGGTCGAAGCCGTAAATATGAATCTCTGGATTACATATCAATGGTTTAAACGTAACAACTACATTGAAAGACCTGAATGTCTTAGGTTAGTTTTCGACGAGCTTTATAGGTGGTTCCTGCTGAGGAGTCCCAGGATTAAATAAAACAACTGTCTTATGTCTTCTGGTTTTCGATAGTTCTATGACTAATGTTACTTCGCGACAAAAATAATGTTCGAATTGAACTGGTCTGTACAAACCAATCAGTTCAACAATATTAATACCCATTGCTTAGATTGATTTCATTAGGTTAACTTGAGATTCCAGGTAGTGAGAAAAAGATGAATATAAATAAAGACGTAGGAAAATTTAATTATTACCTGAAACAATATTGTAAATGACGATTAAACCCTTCTAAAATATACATTGTTAGTTAATATTCCGTGATACATCTTCGATTTCAAACATACATTAATGGTCAACCATAAATCGATTATCGTATATTGATTGATAAGTCACGATCATCACCGCTACCAGCTGTCGACAATTAAGATGTCATATGACGTACGTATCAGTGTCCAGTTAAGCATGAAATCTACTGGGAGTTGTATACTCACACTGTTAACACATCAAGAAACATAGAATACAGATTTAAATGATCCCTGGTGGTTGCGTTCAGCAAAATAAATTTATATTGGTCTACATAAGCAGACGACCCGTTTTTCACATACCGTGTAAAATATTAGAAATAATTGAAGCGTGTGAAATAAGTAAGATGCAACTCTATTTACGTCTAGTATCAATAAAATTTGAGGAATCTAACCAAAAATAATCGACCAAACGATATACATATTTTTTTCTTTCCAACACGGAATACGAGATAAAAAGTAGTTCTAAATATAGCACTCTACAATTCGTGTTACATGTATCAGGATTTATTTCAAACTTGGAATTTCGTACTCTGAACTAAAAGAACTATCGCATATGCTGCAGAATGCATTAATTTCCATACAACATATAAGTGTGCATAGCTTGAATGTGATTTATTTGATTTTATATGGTAAGCGCAACTCATGAAGATTGGTAACGATATGGTATAAAATAAAATAATTATTAGAGGTTGGTTTGTACAGGAAGATTGTTGGTCAAGTTGAGAAGTTATCTATATGTTATTGTATAGACAGGATGTAACCCGACCGAAGCTGCTACCTTGACGTGGTGGTCGGGCTTGCCTAGCGTGATGACCCAACCGAGCTATACTGGCTGGAACACATGTTCCTGCAGGTCCTACCATGTCAGGCAGGTCGATCGCAGAACGATGAGACTAAAAGCAGCTAACCAAGGTCTGAGGGCGAAGTCGTACTGCTGAATGCAGAGGGGTGTCACAGCAGTAAGGTGTTTCCATCGGACAACCAGCATCTTCAGCGATGATACCTTCTCACACAGAAGGAAGGAAGGGTTAGAAAAGGTTGACCATAAAAATGTCACACCTCACCCTACCTCACGGATTTCCGTCTCCGGTGGTAAGGGTGCCCACTAAGGGCCTTTAAGAACGGAGCTAATCCTCTAAACACCTTTCATAAAAAGGCCGTGCGTGACCGGCTTCAAGCAGTTGTCCCTTAGGCTCTACGGTCACGATCCCAGTTCTCCAAGACCAACACTAATCTATCTTCCTTTTCAGGTCCCTCAAGAAACAACCTTACACGGTGTGGGCAGTCGGGAAGTGACAACCGCCCTCATACCCGTAACATCACACGAGACCAAATTGGTCAAAATCAAATCCTTCCTACATTCCCTAATACCTCTCTTCTCTCCACAACTAACTCTACTCACATTCCCTTATCTCACTGCACCGCTAATGCAAACGATGCGAGTTCACGAAACGTCATTCCTGGTCTCTTGAAACCCCGTTCTAGACTACATGTTGGAGCATTTAATGTACGGACATTGTGACAAATAGGGAAACAGGCATCATTAGCTAGGACTTCAGAATCTCGTGCAATCGATGTATGCTGCGTCTCGGAAACGCGCATACAGGATCCTAGTAAAGTCATTAACCTGATTCCACCTTGTCAAAACGAAGAAGCAGCTCGATTTACTCTTCGTGTATCCGGTAGCCCTGATGCTGCTTCCAGGGGTCTTGCTGGCGTAGACATAGCGTTGAGTACTAGGGCAGAATTATCTCTCCTAGACTGGATCACAGTAGATAGTCGTTTGTGCGCTGTCCGACTAAACGGGACAGTAAGGACTCGTAAGGATAGGGACACTCGCCGTTGCCTCTTCGTCATATCTGTCTATGCCCCCACTGACTGCAGTGCAGACGAGGTGAGAGATGACTTCTACAGAAAGCTTTCGGACCTCCTCCAAAAAGCTAGGCGCTCTGATGTAGTAATAATGGCTCGTGACTTTAATGCTCAAGTAGGTAGACTAAGTGAAAATGAAAGACACCTAGGTGGATGTTATGGTGTCGCGGCTCAAAGAACAGACAATGGCGACCGTCTGTTGCCACTATGCTCAGATAACCAACTATTCTTAGCGAACACTAACTTTAGGCATAAGGAAAAGCATCTGTTGACCTGGCGACCCCCGAAGTCGTCTCAACGTTGGACGCAACTAGATCACATCGCCATCAGCCACCGATGGAGGGGTTCGATAGAGGACTGTCGCTCGTTCTGGGGCACATGTTTGGATTCAGATCATGCTCTAGTGCGAGCTGGTATATGTTTGAGGCTTACTGGACGTAGGAAAGACACCGTAAGGAAGCCTCTTAGGGTTTTACTCAATGATAATCAAACTAAGAAAATATTTCAGGAGCAACTAGAAAAAGAGTTAGGCGGCCATGCAAGCGATTCTCATCCTGAAGCAGGTTGGTATGATATCAAAAAGGCTGTGGAAACAGCAATGGTATCTGCTAGTAAAGTAAACCATAAGGCTAGGATGAAGCCGTGGATTTCAGTCGCATCTACCGAACTGATGGATGCTCGAAAACGCATCCCACCTGACTCTGAACATGATGAAGAGCGTAGTCAGCTTAGGCGCAGACTTATAAAAAGTCTGCGTAACGACCGCAAACAGTGGTGGGTGGCGAAAGCAAAAGCGATGGAAAAGGCAGCGGCGATAGGCAACACTAGACAACTTTTCCGCCTTATTAAAGAAACCGGTATTAGGAACCCGAATGTGAGTGAGACTATTTCGGAAAAGGATGGGATTATTATCCATTCTCAATCCAGGAGACTGGATCGATGGGCAGAACACTTTAGGGATCAGTTCAACTGGCCTCGAGCCACTCTTCTGTTACCCACGATCTCCAGTCATCCTGAATGGCAAATCGACCTAAGTCCCCCTAGTCTTAATGACGTTGAGAAAGCGTTAGGAAATCTAAGGGGAGGTAGAGCGCAGGTCCTGATAGACACACATCTAGGCGTCCTACAATAGTTGTCTTCCTGGACCTAAAAGCGGCATTTGACTCAGTGGGTCGTGAGGTTCTGTGGCAGTGTCTGTCATCGAATGGTGTACCAAAGAAGTACATTAACCTTATACAAGCTCTCTACTCGAACACCACTGGTCGAGTGAGGGCTTAGGGCGAACTGTCATCTGAATTCTCTACATCAAGTTATGTCCGTCAGGGATGTCCACTTTCTCCATTTTTGTTTAATTTCATCACAGACATGCTCTTAGAAATAACCTTATCCCCGTCTGAATTTTCTGGAGTAGACCTTCTACCAGGTGGCTCGCTTATTGACTTAGAATATGCCGATGACATTGTCCTACTTGGTGAAGATGCTGACAAAATGCAGAGTCTTCTGACTACCATTAGCAACAATGCAAGCATGTTCGGGATGCGGTTCTCACTCTCGAAATGCAAAATGTTGCTTCAAGACTGGGTTGCATCGGCACCTGAACTAGTCATAGGGACTGAAGTAGTCGAGCGAGTAGACCGCTTCACTTATCTTGGGAGTCTCATCAGTGCCGATGGCCTGGTGACTGACGAAATCTCAGCTCGCATACAGAAGGCTCGATTGGCTTTTGCCAACGTGCGTCACTTATGGCGTAGGCAATATATCCGTTCTCTAATCAAAGGACGAGTGTACTGTGCAGCAGTTCGCTCCGTTCTCCTATATGGATGTGAAACATGGCCAGTGAGAGTAGAAGATATTCGTAGGTTACTGGTTTTCGATCATAGGTGTCTTCGAAGAATTGCTCGTATACCGTGGGACAACCGAGTAAGCAATGCTGTCGTTAGGAAACGAGTACTAGGCAAGGATGGCAGATCAATCGATGAAGTGGTGAAACTTCATCAGTTGAGGTGGTTGGGACATGTGTTGCGTATGCCCAACCACCGACTGCCTCGTCGAGCCTTGTTTTGTAGTGTAGGAATGGGTTGGAAGAAAGTTAGGGGCGGCCAAACCAAAACATGGCACAAATCCATGAAGTCATTGACTAGTGGACTTAGCCATGTCGGTAATTGTCGACTACCTGGTTGGGGTCCGCGAGATGATAATAATCGATGGTTAGAGACCTTGAATGACATGGCTCAAAATCGTTCGCAATGGCGCCGGTGCATTTATTCTTTGTGTTCTCTCAAATGCTAATCTTCTGAGTTCTTCAACCCCTCTAGTTTCGAGTCTCTAAACTTTTCTCACTGAATCATACTTCTTGAATAGTATCTTCTAATCCCAACCTCTCCGATTACTTCTAATTCCCTTACTACCTCTTCTACTATTGGATTTGCATTGACGATTACTTCTCTGTGCTGATGTGGTATGGCAACATGAACTGATGTACTTATGTACAAAGTTCTACGTTGCATCTGACTGACTGAGACAGGATGTAACTTATGCGCGTGACCACGTCATTTGATATGCTTGAACTATTACGAGTTCACCCTAGTCAGTAAACGAGATAGAGATAATGATCCAGTGACAAAATAGGCTACACTAATCCGAGCGTCCCAAACCTGCTATTGAAAAGAAGAAGAAGACTTAATATGCAGTAGAACGTGCATTCTACAAGCATCCAGAAAGTACGAGGTCCGAGTCCAGAAGACGTTAAGGATCTGGATTATAAAATGTTACAGATAATGCATATTTATACAGTTAATTCAAATAGGAAGCAACATTTGAAGAATGTGACATTGATAGTTAGGACGATCAATAGGAATTGACCAATAGAATTAGACTTACAAAATAATCCTCCTCTTAGGATATTTAGTGAATATACTAACACAGGATTTGCAACCGAAAATGATTTTAGAACATGCTGCATTCTAATGACTGACATTTACAACGTTAAACAATCAGTGGTATAACACTAATTATCGTTTCAGATCATTTACGCCTATATAAGCATACCTGAAGACTCGAAGTATTGGTAGATTATAAATCAGTATAAAAATGTCGCGATAAATAATGTACGTCAATTTGAACTTCACATATACAAAAAACAGCATTTACTTTTAAATCACATGGTTATATCACTTACTGTTAATTTAACTGTTGCTAACTTTATATGAGATACTACGGAACGATTTTTATCAGAATGATGTTGCCCGTACGAAACAATTTCTTTTGGTAAGCGTAAAAATTGTAAGTCACAATGGTACATTTGGTATGTTGTATAATTTGTCTTGTGACTGGAAGAGTTGTGCATTTCTAACAGAAATTCTGTTAAACGACGTCGAGGGCGAGGAAGTCCTGTAAATTAAGTTAGGACGTCAATACTCAATTGTTAGGTTGTAGGTTTTTAGAATTACATTTAAGGTAGTTAAAACCAGAGGATGAATAATAACTATCTCAATTTAACTTTAAAATTTCTTGTGCGTCCATTACACTTTTCCCGAACAGTAATCAGTGACTTTAGGTCCTGAGAGAAATTTTTGAAGTCGATCTGTGATCTTTTTTCAAAGCCATCAATAAGTTCGGAAATTTTTAATTTAAATCCTTACTTCACTGGGCATTTCCATTCACACTAAAAACTCAATTTTAGGACGACATTTTCGAAAATAATGAGTAAAATTGAGGTTAATTATTGGTATGTACAACTATCGAATGGTCAATCACTTTTTGAAATAGGTTTTTCTTAATTTCGAAACCAAAACACGTCAAACATTTAGATTTTTAAATATAAATGCTCTCGGTAGCAATGATCTCTTCCCCCATATTTTCTTAAAGTTATCTTCTATTCAAAGAAGGATTAGTATTTAAGGATGATACACCCCTGCTGAATGAAACAACTAAGCTATTCATCGAAAACATCTAGCGAAGAAATCGAGAATGATTTAAACGTGATTTTACTAACTTTAAATTCAAGTACTGCTTCAGGTAAAGTTTTCATTACCTAGGGTGGGGGTTTCATTTGAGTGGAAAGTTGGATTAACCTTTGAGGATTCTCGATGAAATAAGTTTATTCTACCATCGCAAAATACCACTTATAGTGTATATAAACCAACTAACTCCCTATCAAGCGACGAATCCACTATGGAACGATACACTTTTTTTATCTGAGTTATAAAACATTATCGTTAGGAACGGAAAACTTAATATCTAATATATTTCATTACACAAAACTTCACATTACTGCTTATATGTGGTTGAATCATCAAATGAAGTTAGATGATAAGTGCTTTATGAGTAAAAACATGAACCACCGTCTCACAACATTAACATCCAACTGGTAAAGCAATAGCATTAGTAAAACTTAATTATGCAAAAGCATTCGAGGTTGGTCTGATAGAATTTTTCTGTTGATTCTACTCTTCAAATAAAACTAGATATACTTTCTCTTAGGTAATTGGTAACGGAAAGCGAAAGACTAAAATATCAGTGCCCTCAAACTTATTATATAACCAACAATAGTTATTGAAACTGTGAATCGATCAATGTTAGACCACCATTAGAAACCTGGAAGCACTGGACGTGGATGCACACTGTTGATGAGTCCCACACCAGGACGAAACGGCCGTTCAGTGCTTCCAGGTTTTTAACGGTGGCCTAACATTGATCGATTCATGGTTTCAAAAATGTGTAACTTAACAATCTTCACAACCCCGTAATGAAACAATAGTTAGTAAAAATTACCTGATAACAAATCTTGAATCTGGTTGGCTGTCCCCATAGTCACAGAAAATACGTCCTCTGGTAGTAAATTTATGAAATATTTAGACTGTGAAGTTGTACGAAGTTTTGAGAGTTCACGAATTTCTTTAAGAGTAAAAGCCACATGTAAGGGACCTCTTCGACCAATTAAAATGACTTTTTTAACTTGACTTCTCGACAAACAATCAATCACAGGTTCTGGTATATCGGTAGACTAGACGTGAATTCGTGAGTTGCAATTTAATTACCTTTAATCGATCAATCGGGGAAAGAAGGATACGTGCAACATCAATTGCTACATTTCCCATACCAATAATAGCAACTGTTTCACAGCTGAGATCAGGAGAAAACTTGCTAAACATAAAAATTTTAACATGACATTTACATTGACATTGTTGGGTACACCATTATACCATCCTACTAGATCTTTGGCAGACAAAACACCCGGTAAATCCTTTAACTGTCAAATATTTAACATGAATATACCTCTCCAGGAATATCCAAACGTCGATCAACAGCAGTACCATAAGCCTTATAAAATAGCAAACTGATTATACATTAACAGTAAAAGCAAACCCAAATAATGGCTGAATAAGCTTCTTGTAATTCTTTTAGTTTAATATCTTTTCCAATGCAAACATTACCAAAAAAGGAAAATCGTTCATTTTTAGAGACTTCAACAAAAGTATTTATTACATTCTTGGGTTAAATAAGCGTAAAATAAAAATCACACAATAATACTTTTATTTCAGGATGATCTGGAGCCACACCATAACGGACTAAACCAAAAGGCGAGGGAAGCTTTTCAAACATATCGATATGCACACCTACATGATTCTGCATTTGTTCGTTAGTTAATTAAATGGATAGTTACCTTTAGTAAAGCCTGAGCAGTATAAAAGGCTGATGGGCCACTACCAATTATACAAATTTGAATTTGATTTGAAAGTTGTCTTTTTAATAGACAGAAAGGAGACTTAATTAAATTAACTTGTTTCAAAGTTCTGTAAAATAAAACTTGATATTTACTTAGTCTCATTGTGAGATAAATGAACTGATTGTGAGGAGTGATTTTCTTTCGTTAACAAGAAATGAAAGTTTTAACTGTTTGAATTATGAAATCCATCTGAAAACCCCAAGAAATTAGATAGTTAAAGTATATCATATATACGAGGTAAAAATATTTGAATAAAAGTGAAGTTACATGTTAGTCTGTCAATACACTACCAGAATTCAAACACCTGACGTGACTTTTCGGGTCCCAGAAATTAGCTTCCAGTTAATAAGTCACTAGTCCAAACTATGTTCGACTGATATACTGGAGAGATAAGCTATTTTGTAGCTCAAACTACACTACACAATGAAGCTTATCCTATTTTTTTCTGTTTCATTAACCAGAGCAAAAAGTTTATTAGTTGTGAAGAAGCCTTGTTAATTAAAACGGAGTAGGAATTCAAAATGCATTTAAGATAGACAGTTATCAATCGATTACAATGAATGTAGTTTAGAAACTCAGTAATTTTCAGTAAACACATATTATAGTGAAAAATGTATAGAAAGTTCATGCAAAGAGGCCACAGCGAATAAACTAATGTGACGAAAATTTAACTCATTTTAGATAGATTTTGAATTTTTTCACCCAAATGTATTCGGGGATTCCAAATCTAAAACATTCGCTTATTACAGCTGAGTGAACAGGATGTAGTGTTGACTTTTATGTGTGGAACACGGCTAAGTACATGAAAGTATAGACAGTTACTGAGTTACATAGTCATTCAGTTTAAGACAGAGAAATCCTTAAAACGTTTGGTAAGCATTCTCCAGTTACCAGATATAAAAGCCTTTGACAACCTATGGTTTGATTTTAAGCATAATGAATGCTTTGCGTCTGTAAGAAATTATATCAGCCTTCACGACCTGAGAAATCTCAATTACATGACCTTCATCGTCGATAACACTAAGTAACTTTGAAGAGTTATATATTGTTTATGAGGAACAGTGGCACAACTTTGCGACTCAAACTAAGGTATTTAGAGTGGAATATGAACTTGGGACCTATTGGTTGAAATTAAAATCTTTTAACTGACATCAATGCAACTGAAAGGACTAAGTATACGCAGAAGCAGTATGTTTAATTCTTGTCTAAATGACCAATTCTTGATATTAAGAAAGAATAGATGTCCTCTAGTGAGAGCATTGAAAGAAAAATACATTTGATGAAGTGATGAGCTTCAGGGGAATAAAACCAATGAGACTGAGAACCGATATGAACTAAGGTGACAGAAAGTGTTGGACACGTAAAGTATATTTTTACTGGAAAAGCTTGGACTAAAATGAATTATTAATTTAGGTTAATAATTGCTACCTATCAGAGAGGATCTGTCAACGTATTGAGTGTAGTTCATAAGAGAATCTGGTAATATCACACTTAGTCAGTCAGCTACAACGTAGAACTTTGTAAGTACGTACATCATTTCAAGTTGCCATACCATATTAGATCATAGAAAGTAAATTTCAGTGACACGCATACGTAACTTTTTCTTTATTAATGGAACATCTCACTGTTTGATGAATATTAACTGCTTCTTTATGCTTTTTAAATTCTTCAATGATAGTACCTCCCTGGCTAATCTTAACCCACAGTAATGTCCACAAGAAAAACTCCAAATGACGAACTAACACGCTTTGATTTTAAGTCCATTAAGATATACTTACGTAAAATAACCCTACAAAACTTTCTTCAAAAAGCTTTTTTAACAGTTACGGTCTCTACAGTCATAAGCAACTTGTTGATTTTTTTTGAAGTCCTGTGACATTCTACCTCTGTATGATTTTAATCGAAAATTGCATCTGTGTGCTAATGTGACAGGGCAACTTGAAATGATGTATGTTCGTACGAAGTTCTACGTTGTAGCTAACTGACTGACATCCAGATCCAAACTGGTTACCAAGGTATATGTTCACAACGCTGCATATACTCAAGTATTATTCTTAAAGATCTTGATAATACTTCAGTACGTATTAGACTAGTTCCACGTTTTAGTACTTAGTAAGAACACATTGATTTCAAAATGGTTATAGTATGGGTTGTGATTCAATACAAAAGTTGCTACACTGCCTTGTGGATTAGACTTTTGGGTCAAAGACATGGGGAGTGGCCCTTTGAGAAAACCACCTGCTACAGATCAAGCAATATCTCAACACACTCACAAATCCAATAGTTTGAGTGGCGCATAAATATTTGGGCAGCCTCTTGTGCCGGTGTTTAAATAATAGAAAATACATGAGACTGTATATGTATATTGGTACTATTTCGAAAAGCTTAATGTTACTCATTCAGTTACAACGTAGACTTCGTACGTAAGTATATCAGTTCAGGTTGAGAGGTATTAGGGGGTGTAATAAGGATTTGATTTTGACCAATTTGGTCTCGTGTGATGTTACGGGTATGAAGGCGGTTGTCACTTCCCGACTGCCCACACCGTGGAACGTTGTTTCTTGAGGAACTTGAAAAGGAAGGTAGATTAGCGTTGGTCTCAACGACTTGGGAGCGTGACCAGAGTCCAAAGGACAACTCCTTGAGGCCGTTCACTCAAGGCCTTTCTATGGAAGATTTTTTGATTAGCTCCGCTCTTAAAGGCCCCCAGTGGGCACCCTTACCACCGGAGACGGAAATCCGTGAGGTAGGGAGAGGTGTGACATTTTTATGGTCAACCTTTTCTAACCCTTCCTTCCTTCTGTGTGAGAAAGCAGCATCGCTGAAGATGCTGGTTGTCCGATGGAAACACCTTACTGCTGTCACATCCCTCTGCAGTCAGCAGTACGACTTCGCCCTCAGACCTTGAGTAGCTGCTTTTAGTCTCATCGTTCTCCAATCGACCTGCCTGACATAGCAGAACCTTCAGGAACATATGTTCCAGCCAATACTGCTCGGTTGGGTCATCACGATAGGCAAGCCCGACCACCACGTCAAGGTAGCAGCTTCTGTCGGGAGTTCAGATTGCCATAACACATTAGTACAGAGACGCAAATGTCAATTCAAATCCCATAGTAGTAGAAGTATTAACGCTACTGGAGAAGATTAGGGTTCGAAGATATTACTTTAGAAGTATAATTTACTGAAACAAATTTAAAAAGAGAAAGAGGTGATGAGGAAGTCAGAAGATTGCAATTTGAAAGAAAAAAGAATGGATGAACTAATACAAGTAGTCCATACACAGCGAAACCCAGCATAGGTAAGAATCGTACAAAGGAATTCCCGATGTGAAATAATATCTCATAGATCTAACACAACTGGGAGGATGTTTCTATTCATCCACTAGCCAATCATACATACCTTCACTGGTTACACGTTAAGTTGTCTTTCACGAAAAGAGAAGTATGATACATTGAAAAATAAATCAACACACCTACAGTGATATTTTTTGGTAGTTGTTTAGTTTGATGTAGCGAAATGAGGCGACATTCACTAAACCTAAACCAATGGTTCTACCTAAATAAATGAAATGATCTTATCAGATTTGAACCCAGAATCTAGTTAACCAAAAACGTTTGTAGCCTTTCTTCGCAAAATTTAATTATTAGGCGTTCATTTATTGTTGATTATTTATCAAGATTTGTCATAGTAATGAACAATCGCTATAAAAATTAGCTATCTAGAATTTATAAAATATTAATATGACAAAATGAGAATCCAGCCAGTGAACGATCAATAGTTGTCACTTCCCTCAGTTAGTTAATTACTGAATAATATCCACAGACATATGATCTTGTATTCATTAAACTTGTACATAAGCGTGTTACTTTGTTAGAAGAAAAAACATAATCCATTGAACAACCGCCTTGTCGTCTGATATTAATTGATTGAGGTGGAAGGTTGGTGGCTTACGACAATTCACTTAAAAATCTGAAAACCCATTCATATAATCTCCCTTATAACAAAGATACAAAACTGATGAATTTCTACAGAAAACTTATTTTTACTAAATGAACACACAACTGATACATCACACATGTCAGTCAGTTAGCTACAACGTAGAACTTGATCATCATTTCAGGTTGCCATTAGCATAGAGACGTATTTATCAATTCATATCTTATCCTACACAATGTATCTCAGGCGAATCACACACCTGGAAAGAGATATTTATTTAAGTGAGACACAAAACTCAGGTTACGGGTGAAAAAGCGAGCCTGGCACGAGTTCAGAGTGTCATTGGAGGATTCTGATAGCATTTCTTACTTGGTAGTGACAAACAGGTCTAGATTCAAAGTTCGAAGGGGTAGTAGATATCTCTTGATTGAGCTAGCGGCTAAAATACGAGCTAACCCAAGGTAACGCTAAGAGTGATTGAATAAGAGAAAAGCTGTTTTTTATGTTCTAAGTGGTGAAAATCTGACAAACTATGAGCTGATGGGGGTTTTGAATGCCATATAGTTCCCACTTGTAATGCTACCGCAGGCGAAGTGACTACAAACCTTCAGTGGGTAGCTTCACGTGGAAACTTGACAAAAACATGTTCACAAACGGATTAATAGTTCCAACTTACACCAGTCGTGTTTGATGCAGGCTTCGCAACTTCTCTGCTATTACCAATAACCTCATGTCACTAACTTATTCCATCTCGCTATTTATTATTCGTTTCCTTTTTACTTCTCATAATTTAGCCCTCTCACAATGTCTGCACTACCAATTATTTAACATATTTATGTGGTTTCTGAAATCCAACTAAACTAGGACAAATACACTCACTCAAATTACAAGACATAAAAATTCACATATGGCTACCAAACTGGCTAGAATCAGTGCTCTGGAGTGGCTAGACTACCGCCTATTGGGCATTACCGAAACAGCTTGTAACCGTACCAAACAAATAAGAAGCGAGCGCGGAAAGATACATCGGTCAATGTTACCGTGTGAAGAAATATTAGATATTGAAGTTAACTGAATAATAGGAAAGCATTTTAAACCTTCTTAACGATTATCAAACTTCCGAAATAAATGTTTTGCAAGTTATGACTTTGACTTGATTTGTCTTG